CTGGAGGAGCAGCCTCACCAGCACCTAGAGCAGCAGCCTCAATGCCTGGGTCAGGCGGGACACACAGGTAACAATCACCCTCATCACTAGTAGACACAGCATACATGGCAGCAAGAATAGCATCATAATCAAGATCATAACCTAAAGAGCTCGCCCCAGCGAGGGATCTCAGTGGCGTCAGGGAACTGGAGACGCCAAGCATCGGTTAGACGACCGAAGCAGCGCTGGGTGGTGTGCGGGCCACCGCACGTCTCACCAGTGCGGTCGCCGGTAGGCAGGACGTAGGTACAGGGACCAGCACCCCCACCCCGCTGACGCGCAGCGTACCACTCATGAAGCTGCTGGGGGGCCGGGGTCTCACGAGTGCACTGCTGCTGCTGGCGCTGACCACCACCGAAGCCGCCTCGCTGCGCTGAACCACCCCGGCCTCCTCCACCGCCGCTGCCGCCACCTCCGCCACCGCCGCTACCTCCGCCTCCTCCGCTCCCACTGCCACTGCCGCCACCGCCTCCGCCTCCACCGCCGCCACCGACGCCCCCAGCCCCACCACCATTCCCATTGCCACCCCCACCACCTCCGCCGCCTCCACCGCCACCTCCACCGCCCCCGCCAGCCCCTCCAGTGCCCTTACCCCCTTTTCCTTTGCCTGTTCGGCGTCTCCCGCTAGGGGCAGACGCAGCGCCGACCGACTCGGTGCCAACGAAGTCGACCGCAGCAGCAGAGGCAATAGAGGGCAAAAGGGGGGAGGGGGAGCATCCCTCAAAGAAGGGGGTACGAGGGTCACCACGAGAGGCTCCTACAGCGACTACACTCTTCTCATCTGCCAGGAGGCACTCCTCGAGGAGGTCAACGGTGAGTGTGGTGGGGCAAACAGAGAGGAAGTGGTCCCTGACCGAGTGAAGGGAGTCAGGGAGCCGGGTGACTATGTAGTAGAGGGTGATGTACATGGTGGGGGGGTTCTTGGCGCAGAACTTAGCAGGGAGCGCAGCGCGGTAGCGGGTGTCACTAGTGCGAAGGTGCGTAATGAGGTCAGCGACTGTGGGAAAGGCAGCGAGGTCAGGGAACAGGTACGGCAGCATGTGGCGGCTAAGGGTAGCAGTGGCAGGGGAAGAGTAGCGGGCGACTACAGCATCGTACAAGGTCTTAGCACTCTTGTACTGACTAAAATGCGCACGCTCAGTGGTCGGTAAGTGACGACGCACAGCTAGACGGGCAGCAGCATCACGTGTGGCCCATTGTGAGCGAACAGTGCTGTCAGCATCAGTAGTAGGGGTAGGAGAGGTACCAGACGTGAGGTCAAACAGGGAGAGACCGTCTGTCCTATCGCACTGTAGGAAAAGCTGGAGATCATCGACCCAGACCTCAAAGTCGACAGCCCGACCCTCAGCATCAAAGGTAAGAACACTAGGGGTAGCCATGACAGCAGCGGCAGCAGCAGGCTAGCAGTAAGAGCGGGAGACTAGGGGCAGCTCAGTGGTAGAGGCGCTGCTCGGGAGTTCTCTTACCAGGGCGGGCGGGTAGAGGCCCGCAGGTGGTGAGGGGCAGGGCCGAGGCGCGCTGGCAGGGACAGGGCCGCGACAGCGGTGGCGGCGTCTCCGTCAGCGGCGGCGGCGGCGGCTGCGGCCTCGGTAGCGGCGGCGGCTGCGGTCCCGGCAGCGGCGGCGGCGGCAGTCACGACGGCGGCGGCGGCAGCTGCTGCTGTAGGCGGCGACTGCGGCTGCAGCCCCGGCAGCGGCGGCGGCGGCTGTCACAGCAGCGGCGGCGGCTGCTGCTCCTGGCTGCTCCTGGCGGCGGCGGCTGTCACGGCAGCGGTGGCGGCTCCTGTCACGGCGGCGGCGGCGGCTGTCACGTCGGTGGCGGCGGCGGCTGCGGCAGGGCCGTGAAGGGCGGCGGGAGGGCCACCAAGGGCGGTGACGGGGCCGCTAAGGGCGGCGACGGGGCCGCTAAGGGTGGCGACGGGGCCGCTAAGGGCGGCGACGGGGCCGCGAAGGGCGGCGACGGGGCCGCAAAGGGCGGCGACGGGGCCGCAAAGGGCGGCGACGGGGCCGCTAAGGGCGGCGACGGGGCCGCTAAGGGCGGGGACGGGGCCGCTAAGGGCGGCGACGGGGCCGCGAAGGGCGGCCACGGGGCCGCTAAGGGCGGTGACGGGGCCGCGAAGGGCGGCGACGGGGCCGCTAAGGGCGACGACGGGGCCGCGAAGGGCGGCGACGGGGCCGCTAAGGGCGGCGACGGGGCCGCGAAGGGCGGTGACGGGGCCGCTAAGGGCGGCGACGGGGCCGCTAAGGGCGGCGACGGGGCCGCTAAGGGCGGCGACGGGGCCGCTAAGGGCGGCGACGGGGCCGCGAAGGGCGGCGATGGGGCCGCTAAGGGCGGCGACGGGGCCGCTAAGGGCGGCGACGGGGCCGCTAAGGGCGGCGACGGGGCCGCTAAGGGCGGCGACGGGGCCGCGGAGGGGCCGCTAAGGGGCCGCGAGAGGGGCCGCTAAGAGGGCGGGACGGGCCGCTAAGGGCAGGGGACGCGACGAGAGGGCGGCACACGGGGCGCGCCTCGGGTAGGGGTGACGCGCGCTCCGGGCAGAAAAAAAAATTTCCGATTTTCAGTGGTGGGCCCTAGGAAACGTTCCCACTAGGGAACCTGCTCTATACCATGTGAGAATGAGGAATGAAAATGACTAAGGGAACTGTGGGTACAAGTAGGAAACCTAGAAATGTTGTACCCTATAGTATCTACCCCACTATAGCCTAGATAAACTATAGCATATAAACTTGACAATAGGGGCAAGGACCAGGTTGGCAGAGCTCGACTTGGGGCGAGTAGCATTACCTTCCTCCTGGTTTTCGGCAAGTGGTTCGGCATGCGCGTTGTCGCCATCATGTTCGTCGGCGGGAAGAGCGGGGCAAGCGCGGGTTGCTGTCGTTGCCGGCTAACGAACAGGATCAGGTGGCGGAGCAGGTTCGTCATGGTTTCCACGCTGGAGGGCGGAGAGGAGACTGATCACGTGGTGGATCGCATCGTTGTTGCCGGTCGGAATGCCGTTGTTGGTATAACGCGCAGAATTATTTTCTGCAGAGCGGTTTGCTGTAGATGCAGTGGAGCGTGCTATAGCGCGTTCTCCCGTGGCACCTCCAGTGAAGATTCGCTGAAGCATGCACTGGGCGTCAGGATCCAGACACGCGAAAATCTCCTTGAAATCCGCAGCTCCTGAATTCGATACGCGTGCATCCGGCGGGGGGCGTTGATTCGCTCGGCGAGCTCCAGAATCTTCTCGCCGATCTTCTCGCCTGGGGTCCAGCAGATTGCGCCGAGGTGCCTGCGCGTGCTGGTCAAGATTGCGCTCGCGCCTCTCTTCTCGATTCTCGCCACGAGCTGCTCGTCCAGAATCTCGAGCTAGCGGGGGGTGCCGGTCAAGATTCTGATTGCGCCCAAGCTCGCGATTCTCGCGGTCATGATTGCGCCGCCCCCAGGTTCGCGGTCAAGATTGCGGTCGCGCCCCAGCTCCCGATTTTCGCGGTCAAAATTTCGATCGCGCCCGGGCTCGAGATTCTCGCTGCGATTTGCCCGTCCAGAGTCGAGATCGAGGGGTGCCGCGCGTGGGGCGTTTTCTACGTGCACCGGCGACCCTGGAGGACGCGCGGAAACATTTCCGCTTGTCGGATTGTTGTTACAATCGCCCGCGGACTGCCGTTCGCCGCGAAATCCGGGGGGGAAATCGTGCGCACCATCTACAGCAGCTCCAACATTTTGGGAATTCGAAGCATTGACTTGTCGTGTTCCGTTCAGCAGCTCCAGTGCAGAAACCGTTAATGTAGCTTCCCGACGAGGAGAGCGGGAGCGATCACGCTGAGATGAAGATGCACGATCCCCATCACGTGTAGGTGAACCCCTGCGTCCGCTGCTCCGTAAATTCATGCGAACAGGAGGAGGCCTTCCGGCAGCAGCAGATATAAGTCCACTAGCCATGGTGGAAAAACGAGCAGCAATGACGTCCTCTAGCAATGTACTCCTATGCCCAAGTCTGGGCATAGGAGAGGTTTAGAGTGTGCTGGTGTTAAGCAAGAGAATTGGAAATTGCAAATGAGACTAGGTGGCAGGTCCCCAAGACCTACCGAAAGAAGAAGGAGCTTGTCTCCTTTACAACACACCCCTCTTTAAATCGAATCACAATCTGTAATTTTTTTATATGAAAAAAATTCTTATATCTGACAACAAGTGGCCGGATGTGGCGAGGTAGCGAAAACTTACAGACGAATGTCGCAGCATCGTTACTTTCGCGAAATCCGACCAGTCGGATTATCGCGAAAACGGATCTGACACACCCTTAGTGTGCTTGGCTGTGTGCGGTTGGAGGGTCTGCCAGAGGATCTTCCAGATCTGAAGATGCTGCGACTATTGTGTTGGAAATTGCAACAAGAATGTGTGCCCTGGGTGGAACGAAGTTCTGGAACCTCGTGGGCTCGAAGATATGTATGGAGACCGTTATTAGTGGTAGAATCGCATGGCCTGACTGTTTGTGCTGGGAAGAAGTTTATGTTCGACATTGAGAAACATATCGTAGAATGTGAATGGATTGTAAAAGTTTGGTACAAATAACCTAACCCTAATGTAAGCTACCCAGCTCTAACAACTTAAAACATGTACCGTAGGATTTGTGACACCCCCTAGCCTAGATTAGGGGCACCCAATGTACCGTATTCTCCTGGACAAAACACCCCCCCATGATAGAGCACCCCCAGGTAGCTTGTGCGGGGTGGGTGCTATGGGCGACCTCGTTTTTACTATACCCCCCTTTTTGGCTGATTCTATATAAGACCCTTGGGGGGTGTTATAGCCGGAAAAAAACGATAGCTCATTTACATATCATACACGTGACATTACAGGAACTACAGAAGTACAATGCTTGCACCTAGACATTGTCAATGTCACCTAGACTGCATCTCCATAGCCACAACATCACCACACACTAGACATCCCCATGCTTTTTACTCAAAATCGTCCCCTGCCTACCACTCTTCACAATCTTCCCCGTCATAGAGGCCAGGGCGCCACCACTCGTCATTGCTGGGCTCTTCTGCCTCCCTGCATTCTTCAAGCACGACCCCTTCCTCCTCTGCCGCCGCCGCCTCCGCGTCCTCCTCGGCGGCGTCATCCTCCTGTGCCGCCGCCTGCAGCTCCTTGGCCGGCATGGGGACTTCAGCGTAGAAGGGGTTGACGACGAGATCGTCGTCAACTAGGTTGTTGACATTGTCAAGGACTTCCACCTCACTCTTGTCCCGCATGTGGGCAAGGATGAGGTGGTCCTCGCTGCCATCGACGGGGGTGGAGATCCCACACGTGACGAACGCCTCCTTCACGAGCTCCTCAGGGATTGCTTCCCAGGACTCATCGATCCAGCGGAGCACCAACTCCGCTGGCGGCTTCTTGAGATTGCCAGGGGGACGGGGAAAGGTAGACAAGGACGAACGTGAGCATACCGAGTGCACTTGAACGTGCGGTTCACCGACATATCTAGAGGCTGCACCAGCGGTGTGCAGCCCCCTGGGATGACAGCTCGAGACAGCCAAAACATCCGCATGGTATGCCCGACCACCTCGGTCAAATGGCCGCGGTAGGAGTCGAGCACAACCAAGCCCTGCCTGCGGCGTCCGTTTGTGTCACGCAGGGGCTTCAGAAACGACACCATTACCTGGGTGATCCAATCCTGCACCAGGGCTTCGTCCATCCACCCTTTGTCCTGTGCACGGACCACCACACCTGCTAAACAACACAAGAGCGTTAGGTTTGGTTGCGACATTAGACAGGGAAGAGCACGGACAACATCGTAATCGTGTGTTGCTTACCCGCAGGGATGGCCACCTTTGGGATGGTCTTGCGCTTGAAAACCAAGTACGGCGGAGGTTTGAGCCCGCTCGTTGTTACTGCCAGCATGACAGTAACACGCTCCTTCTCATAGCCCGCACTCCGTACGTGGACCGTGCGCTCTCCCTTCATCTCGAGCGTGCGCTCCGCCGGCATCTCCAGGAAAAGCGGCATTTGGTCCGCGTTCAAGATGAGGTCGAGAGGGTAATCATGTAGAGAGTGCATCTAGCGCACGAACTCCCAAAACGACTCCACCTTGGCCTTGCAATCTGCGAGTAGAGCAACGAGTTACCCCTTGCATTAGCTTCTTATTAGCCGAAACATTGGCACATTCTTCACTTACCCGCTGCCAGCTTCTATCCCATCTTCGTCTTCACCCGCCTCGCCAAATGCCAGCGCGGGCGGAAACGAGTCGCCCACCGGAACGAAGCGCGCCAGTTGACTGCGGGCATCCTGTGCTTCATGTACTTGGCGCTCCACTTCTGGAGCATGCTGACCGTGACGGCAAGGCCCTTTGCCTGGTGCTTCAGGAACTGGCGGTAGACAGCCCGTTCCATGAACGGGTACTTGGACTTGCGCCCGTGCCCCACGAGGCAACGGCGGCCGTTGGAAGCGACCTCTAGCCGCTCCCTCAACTTCTTCCATTCGCGGATCTGGCAGGGCTGCACGTTCACGAGTTTCGCCAGCGCGCGATTAGAGAGGTCGGGCTGAGAGTCCTGCATCTTCAACCAGTGGAGTTTCTCCTTCGCGGTGATGGCAATCCGCTGGCGTTTCGTCATGCGGTGGCGAGGACTTGGCGGTGTAGCATCAGCGTTGCGCTTGATCTGTCCCTGCGGGCGGTTACGCTCAGGAAAGGTGGGGACAACCACTCGAGGAAGGGTGAGGCGAGGACGTTCAGAGCTAGTGCTCGGTTCATCCCACACAGAAGCACTACCAGGAGCATCCGACTGGGGCAGGATAGGGCGAGGAGACGTCCGTGCGCGTGCAGCAGCGCCAGTCTAAACGGTAAAAGGGCGCTGCCGCCTATCAATGGTATTGCTAGAGTCTGGAGATGACACCATGCTTGTGAACTACAGGGGGATGGTGTTTCTCGGCATGGCGGACGAGATTTTAAACTAGAAAAAACGAGCACAAGAAGGAGTCGCTCTCATAGCCAGCCGAGCTCTTGTCAAAAACGTGCACTGGAGCTGCTTGACCGAAGGGAAGCTCAGGGCCATGTAAGGAGGCCTAGACGTGACCAAACGGATGTCAAGAGGTCACAGGTGCAGTGACCTCTCAGCACCGTGCGCGACTCGGGCCATGTATAGCACCGGATTATGCATGAACCCAAATTGCGCGAGGTTGGCAACTTGGCATTGCTGTCATCGAAGCTGCCTTAGTTGGCCCACTGGAACCTAGCCATGTGGCAGATTCCAGTGGGGGGTGACGTAATCCTCGACGACTCGGTTTTGCGCCCCCGTTCAACAAACTAAGAGTGAGGACAGAATACTGTTTTTTTTTTTTTTTTTCATTTTTTTTCTGTTTAAAAAACAATGTGCTATATAATAAGACCCAGGTATTATGTAGCTTTTTCCTATGAGAAGACACCCCCCTTTTTTCCCTGTATTTTTAAATCTACCCTAGGGTGTTATGTCCGGGAGAATACGGTACAGAGGTACTGTTAGTTAATGCCCTGTTGTCTCACGTGTGCTCCCCTCTGTTGTCATGGACCTTACTGCGATCTACAGTCGCCTGTCTCGACTCTTGTTGCTGCCGCCACTAACTTTGCTGCCACCGCTTGGTGGCTGCTCCTCCTACCCGTCCTCTATCCGCCGTGTCCTCTTGGTTGTGACGTCATTGAGGACATCAGATATGAGCTGGAGTTTTTTGCGATGACTTCACCACATACTGCTAGCCCCTGAGGGAGACCCTAGTGCTCCAGACATCCCGAATCCTCATAGATACTTATGCTGAGACAATGTTGGGACTCGGAACAGTGGTCCTCTTAGTAAATAGCAGCCATAGACGAGGTTGCCCCATTGCAGCATTCCCACTGTTGCGACTCTCGCCAGTGAGGACGCGGTAAAAGTGTGAATATCGCAGGATTGTGCTTGTATATTGATTTGCACACGAAACGATGCTCCAACGCCCTTTTTACGATCGCCCATGATTTTTGGGTTGGATGTTTCAGAAGCGAAATTTTAGACTTCTGCGTGACACCAGCACAGAAAAACATCTATCGTCCAATCCCACCTGCGGCATTCGAAGACCATAGGGCAACCAACCTGGCGAAGTGAACTTTACCCACTCGAACCGTGAATTAAAAAATTTTGAGGATTCCAATTCGCTGCTCTGCGAAATTACAACAATTTGCAGGCATCGGGATCAATCGTGCATGTTGTGCCCGATTCGTAAACGTCAGCCGCGCTTTGATGCCTCGGACTGATCTTGCGTGATCAATGATCACTCACATTTCTTTACTATGCACAAATTATTGACAAAAACCTTACTAGAGCATGGTTACATGCTAGTAAACCGGGTAACCAATCCGCACACCGACTGTGATAGACGATCGATCTTCTACTTTTACCGCTTCCTGAGCATCGTGAAAAGAGTGACGAAATTCTTAAACCCATCGTGAAAAGAGCGACCGAAAGAGTGACTGGATAAGACAAGAATTGGCGACGTACGCAAAATCATGCGACCTGGGACAAGAATTGGTGTTGTGATAGGTGATGTGTTGCTACCCAATTTGCAGCACGGTGATTAACAAAGTTAGCGCTCTTCGCGTGCCATCGTGGCTCCGCGCTTCTGAGTGACTAAGGCCCCTTCTTAAACCCAAAAAGCTTGTTTGATCTACAATGTGAGTTTTCGTGTGTTACCTAGCGAAAGTTGTCGCACACAATTAACGAGACCAAATGTCGACCAAATAGTCAACCAACATGATGTTCGTAATGATCTTCTACACCCTTAGAGATGGCGTGTTGGAGGTTCAAAAGGATGTACGTTGACGCAGTTTCCCCTCCAAGGGTGAACGTAGTCGACGACATGTGGATCTTCAAGATGAAGCGACCGTCTGAATTGCCCCCTATCTTCAAGGTAGACTATGTTGCGAGAGGTTTTAGTCAACGTGAGGGAGTCGACTTCTTTTTGACACTCTCCTCCACCCGGAAGATGGCCACTCTACTATATGTCGCAGCACTGCAAGACCACGAGCTGCACTCGGTATACTTCTCCACCACCTTCCTCCAAGGCAGCCTGCACGCGGAGATCTAGCTGTGCCGTCCTCCTGGCTTCACTAGCACTTTACCATTTGGGACCCAGTGGAGCTTGAGATGACTAGTTTACGGTATTCGCCAGGCACCTCGTGAGCGCCACAGAACCTCTCCGCTCCACTCTTGCTGGCCTCAAGTTCATTCCTTCTTCCGCCGAACCGTCACCGTTTGTTTATTCTCGGTCAACTCCTTCCTTCATCCTCGTCTACCCCGATGACTTGGTCTTTGCTACCACAAACAGGATTGCTTAGTCTTTAGTAATGTCAGAACTGCAGAAGGGACACACATGCATTGGCCTTGGTGAGTTGCGCGGCTATCTTGGCGTGCAAGAGACCAGGGACAGAGCAGCACGCACGATCACTCGGACTTAGTCACACATGGTGTAGCAGGTCCTTCAACAGTTCGAGGTTCAACTCTCCACCACACAGACCACAGGCCCACTGCTTCTGTTTCTGGCGAGCCTGTTGAGCGTAATGGTCGTTACGTATAACTTGTCGGTTACTTACCCTCTTAGCATCTTGGCTCGATTTGGTTAGAACTAGGAGACACAGTCTAGTTCACTTGATGGCTGCTAGGAGGGTAGCGAGTTATCTTGTGATTGCATCAGGCATGGGGTTTGTGCTTGGAAGGAGCCAGCTAGTGTGCCTTACTGGATATTGCAACTCGTCTCGGGCGGACGACGACGAGACTTGCAGGTCAACTCAGGGACCCGTTTCAACTCGAGCTCTAGAGCTTTGTCTTGAAGGTCTACTCGTTCGTTGCCTGGCTTCGTCCAGTCCTGAGGCCAAGATCTACTCCGGTGCCATGGCTGCTTAGGAGCTCCACTGGCTTACTTTCTTGCTCACCGACCTAGGTGAGTAACCTAGCTGTGCACTCACCTTGTTCCCAGACAACAAGGCCATGACCCCCCTATATCGAGAGCCTTGTCTGGAGAGCATAGGGAATGACATCCATCTGCAGTACTTCCTGTTGCAAGATCTGCAGCGACGAAGCCAGGCACGCTTGGTTTTTGTGGCATTAGCGACCAACACTACAGACATCTTCACCAAGTCCCTCTCGTCTGGTGACCACTAAAGGTTGTTTTCGTAGCTTGGCCTTTTTTAGACTGGCCCTTGTCTGTTGTAGACTTGCCTCTTGTCTTTGCTCTGCTTATCCTGTTGCGTATATGTACTTAAATGAAGGCTTGAACTTGCCTTGTCGCCATTTGTCTTAGAGGTCCCTGAGTTGCGTCTCTTGCCTTGTTGCTATTCTTGACTGGTCATGTAACCATGTGTCTCTTTTGCTCGTTTTAATGCCCCTCACTTAGCATTTGGGAGTCTGTCAAATTAGATTTGTATCAATGTTAGTCATATTAAGCTACGATGAGGTAGCTAGTATAGACTATATCACTCTTCTCGACACTCCTACTTATACTATTTTTCTTACTAGTCTAGATCATTCTGCTTACTTTACTTTGAGACAATGCTGCCGTATTTCACATTTGACAACAATGTACAAAGGATCCCAACCTTGTGCTTTGCTGGTTGATAACCTACAGAATGGTATAGCTCTAACGCACGACAAACCCATAGTACAAGGCTTGTTGCCTCGATTGCCGTGCATTCACCCATTGTGGTACAAGGCTTGGGTTGGGTCGTTCTTAAAGAGAGAATAGCATTTGCCTCCATCAAGAGGATAGCCTTCAGGATTGAACCCAAACACCGCCATAAAGAACCAGGGTCTCGATAAATTCCTGCCTGAAAAATCAGAGCCTCTTTTCAGATTATGAGGATTTGCCTGGAGGCATCAGCGTCCCATGAAACATATATGAGGGCCTGCTAACAGCGGAGGGCCTACTGGAACAAGGCCTAGCTAAGTGCACAGCCAATGATGATTATGAGGCCGAAGTGCCTTTGTGAAGATATTGGCAGAGTTAGCATTCAATGTGAGAGTACATCAGCTACGTTTACCCATATATACATTATCTTGCATTATCTTACTTCATTATATTTTCTTGTGCTTGCTGTTGCTCTTTTTCTTAGAATCGTTGCTTTACCATATTTAATGTAATTATAGCATCGATTTAGGTTGCGTGCACCGTATCTTGTGGCATTTTGGTTATTTGCGTGTGACTGTGCGAGCGCGTGAATTTGTCTAAATATCGTCTACCGAATTCGGGAAGGATCAGACCCCAACGGTTCCCAAGGCCCAGTACCTTCTAGTATCACATGTGTCACCTACCTTGTTGTGCCTATAAATAGCCACTTTTTTGTACTCAGGATTCATTAGTAAGAACAGGAGTCGATCCTTCAACCCTTACACATGGTAATCAGAGTGAGTTTACACGCGAAGTTTTTCTAACGCTAAACCGTAGCCTTTAAAAAAGTGTGGGGGCGACGACAAAACAAATGAGTTGGGTAAGTAAACCAGTTCCATGTAATTATTGAAATCCCCCTCGATCCAGTTTTCTAATCAGGCATGGAAGGGCA